AATATGAGTACAACAATTAATGCAAATATTTGATATAAATAAGAAAGATCTTACAGTATTAAAACTGAAGATAAAGGCAGAGTAATAGCAATGAGATTTTCCTTGAGCTTGCACACATGTTAATATACTCATATATAAATGATCAGTGGTGTTTGAATTTAAGAAAGTGAGTTATGGTCCAACATGACTTTCGCACATAATTGGTTTTCTCTCTGACTCTTTTGCATATCTCACAATGGATCACATGGAATCATAGTTTTCCTTTCAACTCCTTGTTAAAACATCTTCTTGAATGGTAACAAGGTTTCCAATGTTTTCTCAACAATGTTAAAAACACCTATACATGGTAAAACAGCAACAAGATACTTGCACTAATCCTCAAGGTTTTCACCGTTGGAGTATAAGTAAGAAAAGGGTTTTTGAGAAAATAATAAGGATGAGAATACACTCTTTTCAAACAATTTTCATAAACACATCACACTAATATCTCTCATATAAGAGTACATATACATACTTCGGCTACACTCTTGGTACTTTCTCTAAGGAAATTAGAACTCCATAGAGATTACCTTATTACACACTTCACTTCAAAGAAAAAAATTGAAATTGTTACAAGACTTGGAATACAAAGTAGAAAGATAAATGTTTGATTTTTGACTCTCTCTCTCTGCTCTTGAGAACTAGTCTTCAATTTATAGACTGGAAAAAGCTCCACAGTTATCCTTCATTATTATTGCTTTAACTGTGTAAGATATTGGGTATCTTACTATGGCCTAAAATTTTCTTGTCGTAATCTGGAAATAATTGAAGTAAACCCACAGTTTTTCTTTATCAAAATGATTTTGATAAAGTAGTGATAAAAGAGTCCCTTACTTTTCCATATGTGACTCAAACCACTCTTCCGGAAATTCCGATGGGTCAAGAGAGATTGGTGAGATGTAGCTTTCAATGCAACAGCACTCGCACTTATGATTATGATAACGCCAAACCTGTTTGGACAGCTCTTCTTTTGTTTTCTGTGTCCCACTAGCTTGTCCTTCAAAGATATGATCACACCATGTGTTGAGATATTGCCAATCTTCTTGTTTAGTGAGTGCAACAGCTTTACTGTAAATCATGTGATCTTGTGACTCGTAAACCCAAATATTTTGTTTTTCTTCAATAACCTTTTGGATATACTCGAACTGCTCCTTATATCCTTTAGCTCTACGGTAAGCTATCATCTTGATAGTGTATTCTAGTGTAGTTTCATGAACTTCACTTTTTTTAGGCTGGAAATGGTTAGAAGTGGTAGCTATTCTTATGACATGGCTTATTGAAAGCAACTATCTTCTTCATCTTCCCATTCAGGACAAGCAGAGAAAAACCTAATATAAATATTCTTGTGTTTAAGAACTTGACAATATCTTTCAATAGCTCGAACAATATCCTTTGGCAGCATAGATATTTCTTTTAATAATTCAGACGGGTAAATACAAATTATATTTCCCATTTCATAAAGAGTGCGAACCCAATAAGCTGGGGATCCTGGATATAGATTAACTTTGTTATAAGTTCCATACATTAGAGTTTTCATCCATCCTCCTATACTGGTGAACCAGCAGCAAGCAAGATTGAACAATACGTATACCAAAGTAAAATCATCTTTATTTTTTATATCCATAACACTGGGGGTGTTGCGGGCTTTGATAATATTTGAGCGATTTAGCTCTGGTATAGCAATACTATCCTTTGTATAAATTTTCTCCGGTGAGGGAGACAAAGTAGTATTCTCCTTGACAGATAGAGTATGGAGCTTTAATGCTTCTTGTTCAATATTAGCACAAAAACCTTCAGATTTATTGGCACTAGGGCCTTCAGATAATATAGCCCTATTAGCTTTCTCAGATACTGGCTTGGCAACAACCATTTCCATCATTGTTATCCTAGATTCTATCACAGCTATCTTCACATTCATCTCGAACTTCAATGTTTCGAGTTCCTTCTTGATTTGCTCCATTCCTGGTTAAGACATCTGGAATAAAATTGTCTTTTCCATAAATATGGACAATATCAAATTTAAATGGCGCAAACCACATTTGCATTCTAATAAGTGGCCTTTCAGCTGCACTTGTTCCAAATTTATTTGTCAATTATGGTTTCACCTGAGTATTATCAGTTCTAATAAGAAACTTCTTTGGTAACAAATAAGGTTCAAATTTTGCTACTCCTTTCTTAACAGCTAAACATTCTTTACGATTAATATCATATATGGTTTCTGCATCCTTAAAAGCACATGAAGTGTATGCAACAAGTTCTTCTGGGCATCTACACAATGGATTACAAAGAAATTCTTTATGATTTTCTTTTTTTTTTTAGGATCGTTCCCCAGTGTAGTAGAGATGCATCGGTTTCTAAAATATAGAAATCATCATCATTTGGAATATTTAATTCAGGTAAATTTTCACATATTTTCTTTATTTTGTTTATCATTTCAATATCTTCTTGTGTCCATTCTCATACAACTCCTTTTTCTTAGCTTTTTGGTAAAGTGGACTTTGTATTTTGAACAGTTTTTTATAAATTTTTCAGAATAATTTAATAATCCAATAAAGTTTTGCAACTCTTTCTTATCTCTAATTATTTCTGAAAATTCGATAATCTTTTTTCCAATATGAGGTTGTTGGAGTATTTTCTCTTCTATAAAAATATATCCTAAGAATTCAATTTCAGTTTTAGCTATTTCTGCCTTTCTTTCTAATAGGGTTAGACCATATTTTTGAGCAATATAATAAAAAATTTTAAGGTGTTCGTTATGTTCTTTTAAATTTTTACTATGAATAAGGATATCATCTACATAAGTAATACAAAAAAATTTTATTGGTCTAATAATCTTATCCATTCTTTGTTGAAATATTGTTGGGGCATTCATCCACATTCTACTCAAATTGTCCTAATGGATTAGGGGTAGTAAAACTAATTAAATGTTTTGATGCTTCGTCTAGTTTTATTTGCCAATATCCAAATTTACGATCAAATTTAGAATATAATTTACTTCCTTGTATTTGTTTTATTAACAAATCTTTTATTGGTAATTTATAGTATTAGGTATAGTTTTAGAATTTAGATCTCTATAATCAATTACCATTCTAGCTTTTCCTCTTTTAATTTCATTATGATTTCTGACCATAAATGCAGGACTATTATATGGACTGGGAGCCTGTTTGGGAGTGATTGTGAGAATTGATTTTTTGACCGTTAGAAGAAAAGTAGGGTCCACCTGTGAGAGAAGAAGTCAAATATGACGACTGAAATAGTGAAATAACAGTCAAAAAATCAATTTTTTGGGTGAAAAAATTGGGCCCAAACAGGCCCTAGATGATTCTCTTATAACTCCTAATCCTAAAACTTCTTTAATTTGTATTTCAAATTCCTTTTTTATCTTCTTCGCTATAAGGGAATTGTTTTCCTAATATCTTAACATCTTGATTTTTTAATTCAATGGTTGCTATAGGTTTATCTTTGTCCCATTTCGCTAAGGGATGTTCATGATAGCATTCTTTTAGTTCAATTTTAATATTTTCTAATTCTTCTTCTAACTTGTTAATTCTTAATACAGGAATTCTTTGTTTTTTATTGATTTATGTATAACATCCACCACGATTACCTACAGAACTCTGATGTCTAGGTTTATGGTTAATCGGATAATGTGCAAGTCCAATTGCTTTATAAATTTTGTGATTACAAGGTGTATAAATTCAAAACTATCTTTATTTTGCGTAAAAGGGCTATATGTATAGATAAAAAAAATTCCTAATAGAATATCACATCCAATTTTATTTGTAGCGAATATTCGTGGAATAAAACATTCTCTATTTCCAATTATAATAGGAACCTTTTCCACAAAATCTCTATATATTTCAACAATATCACTAGATGTTTGACCATAAGTTGTTTTCTTATAATCTCTTTTATAATAGTGTTCAAGAAACACATTTCTTTTACATAGGCAAATTCCTGATCTGGTATCAAGTATTGCATGAAATCTTATCATACAGTAGTCTAGTAAATTGAGAGTTATCTCAATATATGGGCTCAAAATACTAGTTTTGATTGATCTAATTTCTTGTATCATATAAATTAATTCTTTGTTTTTATTAACTCTAGGCAATATTTTTTGTTTACCTTCAACAGTTATTTGCAGTATGTTTTTCTGAATAACAAATGGTGACACCTTTTCAAGAAAGTTCATTCCAAGTAATATTGGGCTAGTATCTTTTCCTTTTCTATAATCTTTATGAATTTTAAGGTTTAGCTTAAGTTATTCTCCTTCTATGTCACTAAAACTTAGTTCAAGATTAACAAATGTTTTAATTTCATATTTAATTCCATGATAATCTATAAGAGTTACTCCTTGTGGCAAATTTTCTTCTCCTAAATGATCGACTAAGTCTGCCCTTATGTGGCTAGTACAAGCTCCTGTATTAACAAGGGCTATGATTTCTTCGTAGTTATTTTGATTATTGAAATATTCTGTTAATATAAGGAAATTATCTTCCTCACTTTTTCTTAAATCAATATCAATACTATTTCTAGGTATAGTTGAGTAATTTCTACTTTTAGATGGTCTACTAGAGCTTGAGAGTTCTCTAGTACTGATACTTCTTTCTATTTTTCTACTAGGCATTCTAACTACCAATTGTCCAAAAGTATTCAAAGTTGCTAATCCTTGATTACCTACATTACTATCTATTCTTCTAGATCGTTGATGAAAATCAAGTAATATCTCTTGTGGTAACGAAATGTTACAATCACTAAGCATTCTTGGTGATGTAAATTGTGCTAGGTTTTTAAAGTCTTTATGAATTTCTATGAATTCTCCTAAAATTTTATTGATTTCTTTTTGGTCTGTAGTAGTAAAAGCATATAAAGCTTTACAATGTAAAGTTACAGCTTTACTTCTTTGTGGCATACTTAATCTATCAATTTTGTGATATAGATTTAATCCTAAACTTAAATTTTCATCTAATAAATCCAGGTCTTATAGTAAATATAATTTTCTTATATACAAGATTTTTAGAGACAACTCCTAATAGAGCGTCCATAGGATCATGAAGTATCCTGTTATCCATTAAATATATTTGTATAGGAATATCCATTCCTTCTCTAAAGTATCCTTTAATCATGATTTGGATTCCTCCAATCACTATATTCTTTAATCTTTCTCTAGTGGATCTTTTAATATTTGCTAATTCTCTATTATCCCGTTCTCCTGTAATTGAAGGTATAGTAGTATTGCCCTTAACATTTTCTATGTTAATAGATACTTCGTCATATTTGGCAATGTATATAGTTTTGTTAAACCAAGGTACTATTGGTCTAATAAAAACATCTTTATCTCTTAAAGATATCTGTTTTTCTTTTATAGCTCCATATCTTTCTTCATCAAACAAAAACAATTTGTGAAGTTCATTCTTCACTATCTAAGTTAGTTTCAACAGTATCAATAATTTCTTGATTCATATATATCTGTTCATATTCATATTCAGGTTCCTCAATTTCTTTAATATCAAACTCATAAATTGAGTTTGTTTCAGATAATTTGTCTAAATCTTCAATTATCTCAAATTCTAAATCATATTCAATTTCTTCCATTAATTTAATAGATTTAACATTTTCTCTTTTATTTTTATTATGACAGCTGGCAGAGATATGTCCTAATTCATTACAGGTAAAACATTTACATTTTTTATAAAATCATTCCTTAGATTTCTTCTGATGCTTCTTATATTGGTTATATTCCTTATTCCAAGGTTTTTTCTTCTTAAAATATTTTTTGTGGTTCTTAAATCCTTTGTTTTTCTTCCAAAATTTTAAAAATTTCTTAAATTTCTTTTTATAATATGATTTTTTTAGATGGTTTTTAACAACCAATAGCGAATGAAGTTCTCATTCCTAAAGTATCAGCTTTATGGTTAGGGTCTTCCCATTCTATTTTACTCCAATAGATTTAGTAATCCTCAAATAACTTCTGACCTCATGGCCAAGGTAATTTAAGAAAATATCTATTTAATAATTTTTTTTATCTTCTTCTGATAAATTCCATTCTTTTATAGATTTAGATGTTTTGATATACATCTTTTCAAATTTCTTAGTATATTCATTTAATTCACATATATCACAAATTTTTAATAGTTCCATCTCTCTTTCAGCTTGTAAAGTTTCTTGAGTAATCATATCAATTTTAGTTTCTGATATAACTTCTCCTAATAATAGGTGCCTAAAAAAAAATTTCAATTCGTTTTAACACTTCATTAAAATTTTCAACATCTAAACTTTCATTGCTATCTATGGTAGTTGTAGATTTTTCGCCATATTTAATTTTATTTTTAGTTTCTTCAGAAATTCTTCTCCAAATATCTTCAAAGAATTTTGTTTCTAATTCTTCTATAACATATGCTGGTAAGGATGGTTCAATAGAGACATAAGAATCTTTTTTTTTTTTTTTAATTCTTTAAATTTTGATTCAATTTATTTATATAGGATTTTTGGTCCTATCTTAATATTGTTATTAACAAATTTCTAAATTTGATTCCATATTTTTTATACTAATTATGACATCTTGGTTTATAATGTCTAATTTTCCTAAAGGCTTAGCATAATTATCATATTGTTTTAAAAATCGATTTATAATAATATCTTCCTCTTCATTTTTGAGAGATTCATCTATTAGGATTTGTATTACTTTATTTTTTGTTTCAACTAATTGTTGAGAATTATTAATTTTTTTTATTTCTTCACTTAGAGATTTATATTCGGTACTTAAATTTGTTGCTAATTCTTACAATTTAATACGATTAGTATTAGTTAATATACCAATATTTTGTAATTCTTCTAATCATTTTATCTTTTCTATTCATTTTAAATAATATATTCTTCAGTTTCATTATTAGGCTCCGATACCAATTTTTTACAAGACAGAAAAATTAAAGATAATAATCTGAGAGCTTAATTGAACTCTTTTAAACTTAAGATGGCTTGGTTATAAATTTTATGTTGGGGGGTATTTTAGGTAGATTTTAACCTTTGAATGGTCCAAAATGGCCTTCTTAAATAGATCAATTCCATGTATTTCCCCTATTTTTTATTCATTGTAGCTCTCCTTTTTTTGGCCATTTCCTGGCATATCTCAATTGTCAACTTTATTAACTAGATGGTTTTTATCTTATTCAATTAAATTATTCTACTGAAGCTGCATTTCAAACAAGCTAAATGTTACCTTTGATTCTTAGCGAGTTTGAAAGTTGACGACGTGTTTGCATACAAGTGGTACTAAGAAAAAAAAATTAAAAAATAATAATAATGATGATGATGATGATGAGATAGCATGCCATATTCAATCAGCTTATGATTTCATCTTCTGATTAGAGCTTTGATTCTTTCTTGGCTTCTAGCACACAAGCATTTTTTTTTTTTTTTTTTTCCATAACGAGGAAGCTTCTCATGCTTACATTGATGAATACCTTCCCAGTGTTGATGATTGAATAGGAACATGTCCACAGTAGCTGCTGTACGACTTAGATTCGGTTCTGCATTTTCTCTATTTTGGAGGATATTTGATGCGTATTAGATTCCCATTTCCCTTAATTGATTGGTTTAGAACCAGAGGAATTTAGCCTAAATTGATGTTTTTTTTAATGTTGATTACTACTTTGCATGAGAAATTTATGTATCTTTTTTATAAAGATATTTACTGCATTCCTGATTGCATCAATTGTAGTCATCTTGACAAGATTTTGCACCTCAAACAATGTGTCAACTCTCTTATAGATTCATGAGTTTATACATAATAGCCGAGCACTTAGTGGGATGAGAAGAGCAATGCTATAAGCACAGATTTTGTATAGTAAAGCAGCTGTCTTCCTCCACCAATTCTATTAAAAAAAATTGTACTTGCAGATTAATTGAGATGAGTTCATCATTAGCTCGAGTAGTTGTCGTTTCTGGTGTTTAAGTCACCTTTCAATGGCTCCCTTAATTATGTGCGTGGGCGTTGGAGAAGATAAAATACCACATATCAGCCTCCGATGAAAAAATGAAAACAAAAATGTAAATGGATAAATAAATAAATTATTTCCCTTTACAAAGACTTAAATTTCTAAATGAGATGTTTCTTTATAATTTTATATCCCTTAATGAAAAAAATACAGGTACATTACAATGAAAGACAGTGGGAAACAGTGAGTGCTTAGAGCTCTCTACTTGTGCAAATGAGTGGAATTGATGAGATACAAGAATGTCTAACACAGCTATTGAGAAAAATATGTGCATTCAACAATATTTTCTTTCAACAGTCTCCATTTGACTGATTAACATAGCATCAACATAGGGATTACTTGTTACTTATAAACCAAATAATACCATGTGTTTAGACATCTCATTCATAGATATATGGGCAATCGGTGAAATATAAGGAAGAACACGACAGGAAGAACGCGTCTGATTTTATTACATCTATTTCCGGTATCGTCCCAACTTTTCTACAAATATAAATGAACAAGTAACGTATAACTTAAAACAATGGACCTAACATAGGAATCTATATAACTAATTGTTAATAGACAATGGAAACCAGCCATCTAAAAGAAAATGAAAATAAAAAATAAAAAAAAACGACAGCTTATTTCCTTAACAATTGACTAAAAATAAATTTGAAGCTGACCTAACTTTGTTTATCAGCATTTGACATTGTGTCTTATCCTTAGCGATCTGCCACTGAATGAAATTGCAAAAAATAAAATCAGTCAGTGCTGAGAACTACTACAATCTTGATTCAAAAACTTTTTGCTGCTAAGAGTGAACTGTATGATTTTCATTCCACTTTTGATGTTACTGACAGTATTCGAGAAATTTCACAAAGAATTCAAGAAAATATGTAAATAACAAATGTCAAGCTTCAATCATTTGAACATTTGAAACTGGTATTGCGGAAGAGAATTTAAAATTTAGTGTACAAGTAGCATATGCATATGTGCTCTCTTTTTTGTTCACAGAAGATAGAGAATGTAGGAGATAAAACATAGTTGGAAAAATTTTGCAATTTCAAAATACCTAAATTCCCAAGAATTGGACAGGGAAACATATAATCTGTCCAAAATGTTGCAAAACCACTAACCTTTTTGTACTACTATTCTATTTTCTCCCCTCGACAAAAGAAGTGCAGGTTTCATCAATTTGGTGAACTGAAAAATATGCACAAAAACACATGAACAAAATAGACATTTACCATTCGTTTATTTTCTTAACATAACTGTAAATATGACAATATGGTTATCCGATGGAGGAATTCCATCAGATGCAAGCAGTCAAACACAAACCTGTGATGTCTTCAGCTCCAGTTCCTGCCACTCCAGGGCAGAATTACTTCCTTCCACTATACCAGTTCCCGCATAGATCAATGCACCAATGCCCTTGAGATCCAAATAAATATTATCTAATTAATGATATTGAGTTAAGATTATATGGACAATTGACAATATAAGATGCACAAATTTAGCTTTATATGCTAATTAAGAACTGCACTTGTTTCCATAGGTTCTTTTAACTTACAGCCTTGCAGAACTCATGGTAGAAAAATTAGAAAATATAAAAGGATGATAAGCCTTTTAGTTTTCACCTTACCAACCAAGGCTGACCTTATCCCCACCGCAAACTCACTTTCCCCACCACCAAACCACCCAACAGGCCCAGCATATAATCCTCTGTCAAACATTTCTACAAAAAATGTTGATTAATTGTGAGATTCCTAAATTGCGGATTAATTCTTTGTGTAAATAAACAGCAAAAACAACAATCATATCAGATTTAAAAAAAAAAAAAAAGCTAAAGCAGAGAAAAGTGCAGAAAATTATTGAAGGAATAAGTACTGCATCAATATTTATATACCAGTTTCTGCTATTAAAACCTGTGCCTCTTTAGCTGGAAACCCACAAACAGCTGGAGTTGGATGAAGGGATGACAAAATCTTAAACTGGAAACCACACAAATAATTAGAACTCCTTATCTTGACAATTATAATCTATTTAATGTAACTGACTAGCAGTCATTATTACATTTTTATCATAAAGTGCACGAATACAATAACTATTACATAGTTAGGAAAGGCACAATCACTTTGGAGCTCAAGAAATTTATCCTGTAAATCACATGCCAAAGAATTTTTAGTTTGAAGGTAAATTATCCATGGTAGTTTATGGTGTCTAGGCAGTGTGAACTCAGATGATTTTCTAAAAGCACTTAATGAAACAGAATCATATTGGTAACACTGAGACTTGATAGGCTGTATAGAAAATAGTCAATTCCACGTACTAAAACTCGGTGTCCAAGTAAGCCTAGTCTTCAAGATACAGAAGTTTGTTTTTATCTCAGTTTAAGACTAGTTTATCCACCTCTTCTGCTTGTTCATTCTATTTCCATCTCTGCAGTGAGGTCAAAAGTCCTAATTTTCATACAAAATTTCTCCAAGTTCCACAATGAAATCCAAACCTTCTTTCAGTCATTTGGGGTGTTATTGTTCAGCTCGCCTTGAAGCTCACTGTCCGCATTTACAGATGTCTTTCTCTAACTATTTTGAAACTAAAACCCTTCTTGAGTTTACCTTAGTTCATCATAACAATCGACATGACCACAACCAAAAAGTTAATGCTATAGATGGTTTGGCAGTTACTGTCGTCCTTTTCTTTCCATTTTATCATGGGACAGCATCTAAGGCAATATGTATTGAACCAACCAATAAAGTTTATTTTATAACTCTTAAGAACTTAGACCTAAAATTTTTTCAAAGCTCGTGATAAATAAAAGCCACAATGAATATAAAGTATAAAGGTCATACCTCATCATCTTCTTTCTCCAGTGTCCCTGTCAATTGAGCATAAAGATGTTGAACTCTTGGAAGTTTTCGTAGAGCTTTTTCAGGTTCAATCAATATGCCGGAACATACAGTCTGGAAAGAAAAATAGGGGCACAAAACTATCGTCATTTGCAGAATGGAAATACAAGTAAACAGAACAAAGTCTCCTAACATATTCTTATTTATGCAAAATGTAACTACTCAAAGGTGTACAGCAGACATCTGCAGAAGGTTTGGCATCACTTGCCTCTAGTTTTCTTCTAATATATTCCCGAACTACAGTAAACTCGTGGTGGTCTTTAGGACTACAAAACAATTGAAAAATTAAATGAATTATTGAGTTTTAACATTCGATGGCAACAGAAACGAGATGAATGTAAGATATTGAAATATCAAATATAATATATAATTATTGTTTTATTTGAGATTAACCTGTAAAGCAAATCGTTTCCTATTTGTATATCCAGAGACTCTGATCCACCTCTTGCTCGTGTTCCAGCCAAAGCATCGCTAGAAATGTTTAGTCGATCCCGATAAAATAGTCGCTCTGGCTATTCACAAAGTATAAACAATTGAAAGACAACATAATTTCAATCATGCCATGTCATAGAATTCATCAAGTCCACCGCAAGGGTAAAATGTCTTACATGGAATCCAATGCATAACAATAAAGAACTCCACGAAAACTAGACAAAATTTGGGTCAAGCAAATTATGATGTATAACCTAAATAATTTTACAGCCAGCATATGAACTTGGCATTAGACATTCAAATTTTTGAATTTCAAGGAAATTTTTCTCAGTAACGTATTCTATTTTTTTAAATTTTATTATTCAACTGAAGGATCTATGTCATAAATGTTTAAACCTCCTTTTTGTACATTTTCTAAAAAAATTATTGTTAGATCATCACATCATGGTGTGATCGTTTACATCAATATTTGTGAGTAAAATATCCATGAATACATAATTATTCTCCATTAATAGATTAAGCCCATGTTTGACCCTCATTATTTTCAAAATACATATTTCTCTCACTTCTTTTAAACCACACATTTTTTAATAAACAAATATTACATGCAAAGCCAGAACTCTTTCTTATTTTTTAACCATACATTATCCATCAATCTACTATTCCAAAATACATTCTTACAATAAAATGGGACTCAAACGGGCTTTAAGTATCATAATACACAAACATGCAAGTATAGTGGTCATTGTAATAGTGTCAATGATTGAATTGTCTATTGTATTCTTGACAAAATTCAATTCCATGTCTTTCCGTCAATAAGAAGGAAAAAATAAAATGTTTCATTATGCTTCTACTTTGCTACCAAATTCATAGAATAACAAATAAATTGATAGGGCTTGATAGTTGCCGAAATTTGAAAAAATGCAGACACATATAAAACTTAAGCACTTCTAGGAAGTATCTTGAATTTATATTTCTAATAGTGACATTGACACATCATAGCCATGTCATCACCTGAAATGACTTCAAATTACTATCTCTAGATCTACTTGATACATCTTCAGATACACTCTTCGCATATGTATTCTGATACTAAGCAAAAAGTTGAAACTATAGCGGAAATGAATAGGCAAAAGAGGGAATTGATTATTATTTCTTATTTATAACTGAAAGTGTTACAGCAGTTAAAGTGAAAAACATGAAATGGATTCTCACTTTCTTCTAATTGAGAGGATCATAATTTTACTCACAGTGTTACCAATAAATGCAGGCGATTCAGGAGGCTGAAGACAAAAGGCATAGGAATTGTCCCCTTCAATCTATAAGGTTAAGCATAATAGTAAACATCACCTTCCCGTATGTCACCCATCAAATGAGTTAAACTCAACATTAAATTATGAGAGTCCTGAATACCTGTAAGCATGACAGCCACATTAAAGGGTCAATATCCATTGTAGTCAGGACTCTGCTGCTCCGTGCAAGTACAACCTTTATTTCCAAGAAAAAGAGAATGCAATTAGATCTGAGTGATATAGGAACTCTCTTTCTGAAAGACGAAAAAAATAATAATTTTAAAACATTGAGAACTTCGATTGTAGCTTCCAGAAAAAAGTTGTGAGCTCTAGTTACCCATCTTTCATCATTTAATCTCCATTTCTAGTGGCTATCGTAACTATACATGTCTAATAAAAAAAACCAAGGATTCCAAAAGTGATGGATATCTAAATATACAACCTTTATCAGCACTGAGTTTTTTCTTTTTATCATGTCCAAGGCTCGCCTGACGGCTGAATCCCATGATATTTTATTAGGAATATGTGTCTGGCTGAGCACAATAGCCTGATGAGTGTCTTTAGTTAATTTCTTTACAGCAGAAGAAACCTGCAAGGTAGTATTATATATTGAGTACAGCAAGACAATAAAACAAATAAAAAAGATTGGGAAAATAGGAGGAATCAGACCTGCCATATTGTAGTCTCGACTGAAGAAACTGCTTCTCTATATGTCCATGACAGGGCACTGTCCCATGCAACCGTCGCAGCAATCATTGAACCTCCTTCAAACTCATCAAATTCAACCTGCATTCAGTATCTAGCAACACGTTGCTTATATACAAATGAAAGTCATGCCTTTATACAATACAGAACGATAGCAGTACTTCCCTATGGTTGGGGGGGATTACCTGAGGAATCATGAAATAAAATGAACCAAAAGCTTCCCATTCAGAAGCCGTATTAGCCCTCGGATCAAAGCGGATAGCCCCATAAGCACGAATCAGTGGACACTTCTTGGATAAGAACCTTTGATCAACAAAACCTTATTAAGAATCTGAAGTTCATCATGGTTCTGATTGTCTCTAAGTAATTTACCACATTCAGGTTAACCCTTAGTTGAATCATCCAGCATTGCTACTTTTGGAAAATGCTGTTCTTGCTTTGTTATTAGGTGAAACCTGACAATTGCTGAGATAAAAACTAAAAACTGCCCTAAATTTTGAGAAACGATATGTTTTTTTATTGATCCATCCATTGCTATCAATGATGAGTAAGGGATAGGATGGAGGGTTTGACTTCTTCAACTGGTCGTGAGACATCATTCAATAACACTAAGATAAACAGTAATTATCTTGTTACCTTAAAACACGCAACTCTCCCTTTGGATCCATGGTTCTTCAGGAAGAAAAGGAAAAATTGACAAATCGAGATTTTCTCGGGTAAATATAAACAAATTAATAATTGCAAAAATGGCACTCTTGATTATACTTGTACACCCATTTCCCTCGTGTTTCCTTTGGCATCCAAACGCAAGAATAATTGTACACAAAATTCAGGATTCAAAAGAAGCCTATGCAACTCCTGATTACAACATTGTCGTCTATCTTATTCAAGACCTAGACAGCAATCATTCCTAGAAATTATTCATTCTAATAGTCAATTCATGAAATAACCGCTACAATAAATTCTTAATTAAATCCATTACTGGTATTAAATTGCCCCAGTTAAAGCGAGCAAAAAGATGTGAATGACTCGTAAAGACAGCACCTTTTTATGGCGCGCCAGTCGTCCAACGAGAATGGATGGAGGTGGCGAAAGAAGACAGCAGAGCCTATCCCGGCAACACTGACAAGCTTGTGCTGATGCTCAGTTGAAGTGCTGCCATTCTCAATGCAGGCGACATTGCTTGGATTGCGACCAGAGAAGAAACATCGAGGAAGAAGCTGGTGGCTCTGCGCACGAAGCCAATCTAGGGCTTCAATCCGCTGCTGAATTGGTACCTTCCCAAATCCATGGAGTTTTTGATTAAAATTATTTACAGAACAAAAAATGGTACCTTTCCAAATCCTTGGAGATTTTGATTAAAATTATATACAGAACCACAAAAAATAAAAATCTCCCCGTGAAGCATGATTCAAGAGTTAAGTGGTACAAGGTTTTATTCAAAATTGCAAGGTTAATTGTACCACTACCCATCAAAATTGTGTGAGTTCTCAAATTCACTCAACGTTTCTAGCTATTCAACTTCTTAAATTACATTATCGTTTAATATCTAAATTCTTCCCAATCTATTCGTTAAACAATTTACATCGAATGCTTAACTATTGATTTGCATGAATTCTTTAAGACACATGCTCCAACATCACTTCTATTTTTTTAATACTTTGAGGGACCGAGAATGTTGACTCGTAAAGGATGAAAGAAACATAAGCTTCTTATAATCTAAAGTTACATCTATAAAAATTAATATGTTGTTTTATTTGAATTTGTAAATAAAACCATATTAAATTGATATTAATTTGATATACTATAGTTAAATTAATATTAAAAAAGTACAGTGATGCATTGCATCATCCATCGTTCAATATAAAAAGTAAAATTTTTGAATTAAATTATTATTATTTTCATTATTTTTGTTTTTGGAATTAGAATTGGACCGAAACCAATCAGTTCTCAATTTCAATATCCAAAACCTATTAGAACTTGAGTTTAAATCGGAACGAACCTATCAATTTCGATGGTGGAGAGCTGTGATTGTTTGTAGGAGTGGGGTTAATGAGGGATAGATTTTTGGGTAAGGATGGGTTGTTTTACTTGGGAAACCATATTTGGTTAGGCTCCCTCCAAACGGGAGCTGCCACAAAGGCCCCCTGTTTTGGCCCTCGCTTTGAGCCTGACCCTCCAACAGGCCCCATTTTACATATATGTTTTTGAAATTTTGTTGATGTGATAATTCTATATAGAAGGCCATGTCAGCGAACAACTTCCTTTAAGTTGTTTGACAAAAATCTAACATAGCACTTTAATTGTTGTTGAATTG